TGCCTCCGTCTGGGGAGCGGGTGCCAGCTGCCAGAGGCCTCTTATCTCCCAGATCGCGGCACCGTCTCGGCTGACACGGACTGAGCCGAGCCCGGTCCTGCGCTCGCCCGGAAAACCGCGGAGCTACAGTACAATCCGGGAGGGAAAAAAAACAGCAGGAAAGCAGAAACTTAGACGTGGTGATTATGGAGTCGGTTTAAACACCATGATCCGTTTCCCCATGATCAGCAGTATAATCGCAACTGGCATCACGTGGATCAGGGGGTGAATGGTGCCCAGCTGGCAGGCAGGGGAACACAGGGTTTTTTTTTTTATTTGTTTTTTTTCCTCTGCGGCGCTGCTGGGGCATTTCAGGACTGGCCAGGGCTGGAATGTCGCCGAGTCCTTCGGAACCCGAAAGGGCCGCATGAAGCCAGACGCCGCGAGAGGAGTGCAGTCCAGGCCGTGTGAGGGGTTTACTGGTCTTGTCCAGCTGGGCCTGGCGGGGCACCAACACGACAAAACAGCACGACTGGACGAACACGAGAGAGGCAACCGCGATTCCATCTGTCGCAGGTTACAGAGCCACAGAAGTCCACCTTTCACACTGAAAAATCATGTGGCTGCAACTCAATGTATAAAGCATGCAGACATGGTCAAGAGGTTTAGTTGTCGTTCGAGCAAACATCCGAATGGGGACGACGTGTGATCTGAGCGACTAAGCGCGGTGGGATTGTTGGTGCCAGACGTGGTGGTTCCAGCACCTCGGAGACAGCCGACCTCCTGGGATTTTCACACACTGCAGTCTCCAGAGCTTACAGAGAACGGCGCGATAAACAAAACATCCAGTGAGCTGCAGTTCTGTGGACGAAAACATCTCGCTAATGAGAGAGGTCAGAGGAGAATGGCCAGACTCGTTCAAGCTGACAGAAAGGCCACAAATACTCCAATAACCAGTCTTTACAGCAGTGGCATCTCTGAACGCACAGCGCGTCGAACCCTGGAGCGGATGGGCTACAGCAGCAGACCACGCCGGGTCCCACTCCTGCCAGCTAAGACCAGGAAGGCGAGGCTACAGTGGGCACGTGATCACCAAAACGGCACGACTGAAGACTGGAAAAACGTCGCCCAGTCTGACGCATCTCGATTTCTGCTGCGACGTGCAGATGGCAGGGTCAGAATTCGGCCCGAACACCATGAATCCATCCTGTCAAAAGTACAGGCTGGTGGTGGTGTGATGGTGTAATGGTGTGGGGAATGTTTCCTTGGCACACGTTAAGCCCCTCAATACCAGCTGAGCACCATTCGATGCCACAGCGTACCTAAGCATCGCTGCCGACCACGTGCCTTCCTTTATGGCCACAGTCTCCCCCTTTCCAAATGTATACTTCCAGCAGGATAACGCCCCATCTCGCAAAGCGCGCGTCACCGCAGGCTGGTTCCACGAACACGACGGCGACGTCAGTGGACTCCAGCGGCCTGCACAGTCCCCAGATCTCCATCCCATAGAGCACCTCCGGGATGAGGTGGAACGGCAGGCTCGCAGCATGAGCGTGTGGCCGAACAATCTGCAGGAACTGCTATCGAGCCGGCGTGGACCAATGTTTCCAGGACCTTCTTGAACCCATGCCCTGAAGAAATCAGGCTGTTCTGGAGGCATAAGGGGGTTCTACCTGGTACTAGACAGGTGTACCTAATAAAGTGGCCACTGAGTGTATATTCCTAAAACAGTATATATGAAACCATCTCGTTACGTTCCCAAAGACAGAAGTTACAGAACAATAATTATTTTTGCTCAGGAGCACTAGCTCAGGTCATTCTGAATCCAAAATTGAGGACGAGGGTCATTTTTCCTGGACATGATCATCGATATCATGGGTTGTTGAGATTCAGTCCCAAGTCCTCCGTCTTCCACAGCTTTTTAAAACTTCCTCCTTCCCTCCTCTCCACAGACACAGGGGTCCAGTAGGTGAACTCCCATGCAGGTGGAAAATCGGCCCCGGTGCGAGGCTCCGTGTGCCCTGAGGTGGACTGGCGTCCTGTCCAGGGTGTATCCTGCCATGCTATAGAGCATGACAGGCTCCACCTCCTCCATGACCCTGTACTGGACGGAGCGATGAGCGCACTGGGGGGTGGCTGTGCTGATCAGCAGGAGGTCACCGAGGTTGTCCCACTCTCACGCCTGCCCTTTCGCCACGTTAGAGAAGCACACCTGCAGTCGAGTGAACTAAAACTTCAGGTGGTTTCCTTCTTTTAAACTTTCCCCCTCCCACAATAAAAAAAAAAAATCCAGATTCATCATACCGCAGAGGTACTATAGTTGACGTATTTATTTATGAGGTTTCACCCAGCGGTTGGCTTTTGTAGTTGGAAGCGTTTTCTTCCCATCAAGATGAACGTTATCCACCCGGCATCACTGGCTAAGCTCTTTAGAGACGCCGGTGCCTGGAGTCACGGTCAATGACGGTGTTTCCTATCAAGACATTATCGATCTAGATCTCGAGTCCTGCGTTCTCTGAAGACGTCACGCGCGAGGCAGAGAGGGGTGTTCGTGGGTGACGAGGAATAACAACAAGGCTCCCAGCTTAGTAAGGCCACCCGCCCAGAGAGGTCTGCGTGGGACAATGCAGGGCGACACCTCGCAGGTGGAATCCCTGTGCATTATTGAACAGGACAGGAGGCTCCGTGCCACTCGTCATGAATTATTAATGCTCGCCGCGAGGTGGCGCCATCACACAGTGAATTCATAAGCGCCGCGAATGCAGGTCGCGTTTTCAACACGGGCGCCACGCAGGGCCGAATGTAACCGGGAGATCAGGCGCCAGGATCATCAAATAAGTAGCCTAAATAGTTACTTTTAATATATAAAAATGACAACAATGGGGGATGGCCCAGACGGTATTAGTCACCATCGACTTTGACGGCGTTTTGCTTTTTTAAGCGCGCTTTGCTCAGTTCCAAAATCATTCACGGGACAAAATACAATTTGCGACCAACACACCCAGTCTTGTTCACTCACACTGCCTGACACGATTCTGTAGGCGACAGCAGCTGACGAGTCCGGCCAGAGAGTCCATAATATTATAACGTCCATCCAGTATACTTTACAGCGATTATAGGTGTTTTTTACCGTCTTAAACACAAGGGAACGCTGTTGTACTGCAAAATAGAACAGCTCTCCCTCATAATTAACCAGGCCAAGGACTGGGCAAATAATTACACAGTGAAATCCACTGGGGCTTATTCTTCAATTCTTAATTGCACATCCACTACAATCAAATTATTTTTACCAATTATTTCCAGAAGGTTTCATAGCAACTTGTATTACGTTTCATCTTCCATGTAAATATTAGTGTAGAACATTCCATACTTTTGATTGTATTTTTATTTTGATTGTCTTTTTTTATTTTTATTTTAAAAAAGACATCTTATTCGTTTCATACTTTCAAGACCGAAGTACTCCATTTTTGACGAAAAACAAAACCACCCAGAGACACGATCACAAAAAAAACTGGGACCCTCCAGCCGAAAATGCCGCCAAACTGGCCAGAACTATTTCTACAAGCCCTGCAGGTTGCCCGTGTACCAGAGTACCCATTTGGAAATCTACCGTGCTGCTCACAATTTAGAACCGAGTAACGAGGGATGGAGGTGATGGAGGATGTGAATTGCACTCTCCGAAGAATCTGGCAGATTACGATGAAAGTGATTTAATGTTTTGCCGACATTTGTATAATTTCAGCTTCTCTGAAGGACTGGTTTTACCCTTGGGCCTTACCTCAGCCAACGACACAAGTACCCAAAGCGTCTTGTAGTCAAATTTCGAGCCGGCGAACGAGGTGCTGAAATAAAGGTTACGGTTAAATTTGAATCTTAACTGACCCAGTGAAGGAAGGGGGGGGTTCTAAACCACATCTTACTGAAACGAATACATTTTTTTGCCTATCCCGTACGGGTTTTATTTTCGTGGTTTAAATGGATTGTACTGGCCACTTGTTCGGGCTGGAGAAAAACTCGAATCGCAGGTTGCGCCACGCCTAGACTTCAATGCAGCCAAAATAAAAACACACACACAAAAACAAAGGAGCCCCCCAGGCGAGCTTGGGGCGATTTCCCTAATCAAATCAATCGCCCCCCACCAACTTCTCCCTGTAAGAGATCAACCCTCAGTACCTCTGCCGCTACAGATTTCAGAGCGCTTCGGACTTGGCACAGTGTGCAGCTCCGACTGACCAGAACACTTCTTGACAAGATAGATCTGGTGTTCTTGGGAAAACACCAGGATTTGGGGGGAAGAGGTACCGATTTGTCACCTGTTTGTCTGGCTTTTAATTCAAGGCCAAACGAAAACAAAGAGTAATATTTCAGACATGAATCACGCAGCTATTGTGTGACAGAGCTGGGAGGGGAGGTGATCGGGAGCCCAACCAGTTCTCTGCACGAAACAGCGGGGGGATATTTATTTATTTTAATCGTTTATTGGGAATCGCTTCACCACTCAGTCCATCCGAGATACACACATACGCGTCCCTCATACTGCAGGGCGACTGAGCTGGAAAGTCGGATTGCTCGGAAGTAAAGAGCAACTGGTTTTGAGAGCGATTTACATGACAAAACAGCACAACAAGAGCGCTGACGTTTTATTAAAACACACAGAGGCGGGCGGGGGTGGTAAACGTTTTCAATTAAAACGCATACTTTCAGATAAAGAGGTGGCGTTTTTGAAAGTTTTCTGAAACGTCTTGAAAGGCTTCAGATCCTCCAGTCAGCCTGCAGTCGGGACTTGGCACAGGGGAGGTTTGCGCGGACGCGTTTTCCGAGGGGCGGAGGGAAGAGCTTCGGAGACTTTGTTTAGCCTTCTGGGCAAAAAAAAAAAAGAGAAAAAAAACGATGTTCTCCGGAGCCAATGGGAAGGCAGCATCCACCCTAGGGAACTATAATTAAGTGTTTAACTAGATTGGGCGCTGCCGAAGCGCTAGCAGTACAGCCGAGAGAATTAGCAGCGAGGAGGGCTCTCTGAGGATTTATGCTGCTGGCGCTCAAGGAGAGACGAACCCCATCCGCAGCCGACGGCTCATCTTGACACGAACCGCTCCCCCCCGAAAGAGAGTCTCTTTTCTGGACGCTTGTCTGTCTGTTTTCAGGACGGGGGGCGACGCATGATGAGCGGACCGACCTATGAGAAGAAACTATCGAGCATTTTGACCGACCTGCCGGGCTCTATGACTTGTCACCCCGCGTCCAAAGACTCCCCTACGCTGCCGGAGTCCTCCGCCACGGACATGGGTTACTACAGCGGGCAGACGACGCACAGCCAGCACGAGTACTACCAGAGCCAGGGCTACACCCAGCCCATGAACCCTTACACGTACCACCAGTTCAACATAAACGGCATGGGGGGCGCGGGCGGCTACCCCACCAAATCCGAATACGCCTATTCCAACTCCTACCGGCAATACGGACATTATAACAGAGAGCTACAGACGCCACCCCAGGATATAGGTAAGGCTTCACCACCCCGAGAGCTGAGATCAGCCTCTGGGTCCGTGCTGGTGTGGTTCTGGCGAGGAGACGGCGACCCGTGGGCTCGGGTGGGACTGACAGCGGAATGACGCGGACGCGGTGGCACAGAGACTTCACCGCGTCCGTCTCTCGGCACCCCTCTGCGTCTCCGGGTTTTGGGGTCCAGTGTTCTCCCCGCCGAGACAACTCCGGGGCGAGAATCGTAGCGTTGGAAGTCCGTGCTTAGTCACGTTATCAGGCACTGGAAGGGAAATGCGTGCGTGTCTGGAATCGTGAAATTAAATCGTGCGTTCGCAACGGGAGATGCGTTTACCTGGATAGCCCAGCGCACCTGCCTCTTCCAGCCTGTAGAGTCTGGGGCTGAGACACGGGGCTCTGTCCCCGGACAGCGACTCGGAGAGTCTCTCCCAGACCCCGGGGACAAGCCCTGTAACTCCTACCGGACCAACCCCAACAGTCTTAAGATGTTCTCACTGTGACACTACTGATTCAGGAGCGATTAAAAAAAAAACAAAACGCCGTTAGCCCTTCAAAACTCTTTCAGGCTGATCATATTACACATCCTGAAAGCAACGATACTGAGCTGAGTTGAAAATCGAATAGACGAAAATACTGGAATCTGCCCGGAACAGTAAAAAAAAAAACAGTGACAATTTGTTTTGACGCTGTTGTGGGTTTAATTTTTATTTGGCTTATTTTATTATACAATAAAACGTTCACGCTCCAGGTTTACAGGCGGTGAAGAAAAATGTAATCCTCTTGTTTTTCTGAATTTTGTTGCAAGAGCTCCGATGTACGCAGAAATTTCACCAAAAGAAATGAAAATAAATTTGAAACAAAAAACAATACTGTATAAAAAAAAACTGTGCGCACTAGTGTACTGAACCTTAGAATAAATAGGTCCACAAATCTTGCTGTTGAATGATATTATTGGTCTCTCCCGGTGTATGTTGACTGTTTTGTAAAAAATTCAAACCGAGTTAAGAAGCGAAGACCAGCCCAGTAACTGAACATTTGTATCGTTTTTAAAGGTTTTAAACACGAATCATGTGTTTAGAAAAAATACTCTGCCTCACTGTTAGGAAGAAGTACTAATACTAACTACAATTTAGTACAATTCCTAATACTACAGTATCTAATTTAATACTGCTGCTCCTTGTAATTACAAATGCATATGACTATTGTGAATCCAGATTTTTTTTATTTTAAAAAAGAAATCGAAAATAAACGAAGTTGAAATGTACGAACTCAGGCGAGTTTGCTCGGCGTTTTATCTGCAAGTCTCTATTTAAAAAGAAGTGGAAATCTGCAGAATTAAGAACACCCTCGCCGGCCGACAGAGCAAGCCTTTCCTTGAGACAAGCCCTGATCGTCATTGTAATGAAAATGTGATCTCGATTGTCTTATCCAATGAGTAATTCACTACAATAGCTTATTATGATGATGATGATGATTATTCGTGTTGTTTGGAATGCGGAGATGGTCTGAACAAGCCTTTATCGCGACATACAGGGAAGACCTCGACAGCAGCGCATCCCGTAGGCAGCTATCGCGACATGTATCGAACAGACCACAATCGCCGACACAGACGTTTTCTCCCCGCGAAACGCAAATCTCGATTCAAAGTCAGGTCGTGTTTGGAAAAATCAGTCACCCGGGCCGAGCCAGGAGCGAAACGAACGCGATTTCGGGCTTCCGGGGGGCTCGGGGAGCCGGCGAAAAGCGTCCTTTCTGGCCTTTTCTGCAATACGGCGACCGCACACCGACGGCTGTTCTCCAGCCAGCCCAGCGAGTTTTATGTGGATATGCTGTGTAACTTTATTGAGTGAATGTGTGCTACAGCTGTTTCAATTGAGAGGCAATTATTTTTTCATGGTTTTGTCCCCCTCCCAAATATAGAGCAAAGGGAACAGGCGAAGGAGAACGTGCCTTGCGTTTCAGGAAACGTTACCGAAAGCGCGAAATAAGAACAGTAACTGACGAGTGAAACGTGTTCATCCCTCCCAGTTTCCTGCCTTCGGTCATCTGCGTTCTTCACAATACGATCACATTGTGCTGGGTCCTTCCCAACTGCATCTGTCCCCAACACTAACCCCCCCTCTCTCTCTCTCTCCCCCTTCTCCAGTCAAAGAGGAGCCCGAACCCGAGGTTCGGATGGTGAACGGAAAACCGAAGAAGATCCGCAAACCCCGCACCATCTACTCCAGCTACCAGCTCGCCGCCCTCCAGCGCCGCTTCCAGAAGGCGCAGTACCTGGCCCTGCCGGAGCGGGCGGAGCTGGCCGCGCAGCTCGGCCTGACCCAGACTCAGGTGAGCACGACCACAGACGCGCGTCGGCCCGTTTCCACGCCGAGTGGGGGAGGGCAAACGCCAATCGCGGCGACGCGGGTAGTCTTCTGCGCTTATTCTTCACCTAAAATCCTCATTTAAAAAGATCTCTGCGAGTGGTGACGGAGAACAGCTGAAATAAGATTTAAAACCACGACGACGTTATGCCCATTTTAATAGCTCCAGTGCGATTCACGGAGTTGGGGGAAGGTAAAAAGTTCCTTCTGCGTTTGTAACCGTGTGAAATTTCAGTTGCAAACCGCACGATTTGTTTTTACGTCCCTCCAGTGAAGTGCTGGCCGGGATTATAAAGCTTTCGGCCCTGCTGGAAGGATCAAGGACCGACCCGCGCACAGGCCGGGCTTCTCATCACACTGCTCTCTCTGCCTTGTGACAACTAGGGTCGTCATTACCAGATGATAATCACACGGAAAGAAATGGTCAATTCGGGCTTTGAGCATATGTTAGAGTCCTGAGCTGAAGCCTATAAAACTACTGCAACCATAAAAACCAGAAAACGGTCAGAATTAAAATGACCTCTGATCGGTTCGGATATCCGTATTCAGATATCGTGACCACAAGCAACAATAAAACAAACGCGTGGGTATTAATTCAGTTCCGATTAAATCCTATCATAACTATTTCGTTTCATTTAGTTTTTTTTTATTATTTAAACGATTTAAAGAACTAATCAAAATGTCTATATTATACTCGGCGTATGACTGTTTAAACGGGTCATTTCGAGAGCGTACTTTAAACAAATATTCTTCTGCTAGTAGCTTCACCAGAAATTACACTAAAGAAGCGTGTTTGGATGTTTCAGTTGGAAATATCATTTGGGCTGCAATTTGATCTCATAATTGGATACTTATTATGAGGACTCTAATTAGATCAGCCGCAGAGTGGTAAAAAAAAGGTACCAAACGAATTATTAACTACTTCTGAAAGGGACATTCATATTTCCATCAAACTATATCATTTTAACAGTTACATCTCATTTTCAAATGATTTTAAAGCACAAGAACCTCCACTGTATTTTCCGAAAGGTTTTTTAAGCGCATCGGCGACTAAATAGGATTATCAGCACAATCCTGACTGACAATAAAAAAAAAATTATATATATGATTATATATATATATTTACATATCCCTCATTTACATTTTGGGAAATTAATTTACATATTTCCTATAGCTGTTTTTAGTTAGAAATAACGGCTCATGTACATACTGTAAATAAAATTAAAAAACATTTTTACTGTGATGTAAAGAAAACCATCTTCGCTGGCTGTTTTATATTTTGTTCGTTTCGTGTAGCTCTTTACAATTATTGGAGCGAATTCGCGGTTTTAAACCCTGAAATCGTGCGCGACCAGCCGCTGTTTTTGCTAAAATCCGTTTCGCTTGCGTTTTCTTTTTTACAGGTGAAAATCTGGTTTCAGAACCGAAGGTCCAAGTTCAAGAAGCTGTACAAGAACGGGGAGGTCCCCCTGGAACACAGCCCCAACGCCAGCGACTCGATGGCCTGCAACTCCCCGCCCTCCCCCGCCGTCTGGGACAGTAACTCTCACCCCAACCCCGCCACTAGGGGGCAGCTACAGCAGGCGCCCCTCAGCTCCTCGCCCACCTACATGGAAGAGTACAGCAATCACTGGTACCAGCAGGGCTCGAACCTACAGCACCCGGCCTCCGTCCACCACACTCCGCCGACGCAAGCTATGGGAGCGGTGTATTAAAAAAAAAAAAAAAAAAGACTGCGGCCGTAATTTAAAATCGAGAAGAGACTGAAAACCAGCCAGCTCATTTCTTCACCCTCATTACGATTTCAATTCCGCGCCCCCTGCCCCTCCATCACTTTATCAGACGAACTCCGACATAAGCTGACGTTATCGGGAGTACCCACGATGTACGAGTGTTTTTTTTCCCCTTCTTCTTTTTGTTCTGTTGCTTAAAGAAATGACAGGAAAAAAAAACATTCTTGAAAGGCCAGGAGAGACATTACTGTAACCCATACAACTTCACCCTTCAAGACATCTTTTATTTCCGAGCACACATCTCCCCTGTCACTTCTCCGCTCTTGAAAATGTATTATCTCCACAAAGTATGGAACGCGGTTTTTAAATTATTGTTTTTTTTTTATTGGCTTCTTTTCTTGGTAAGCATTAAACCCATCTTAGGTATAATTAAACCAAAATGAAAAAAATAAGATAATAGGTTCAAAAAACGACACATTTAAAAGCATTAAAATAGAGATGTAACCATGTTTTGAATCTCAGGTTATTATTTATATATTTTGTACAAAAAATAAATGTCTAAGATGTACATAAATTCATTTGTTTTGTATTAAAAAAACCACTAAAACCATATTGATCTTGCAATAAGATTGCACTATGGTACCCAAAGCCTTAAAACACAAATGTAAGTAGCTGTAATTATTATTATTATTATAATTATTGTTAGTCTGTGGCAAGAATGTTAATAAATATGACTTAGAACTGAATTTCATCTATGTAACTTTTGTGAATTGTCTCAAAGTACAAATGATATTTGTTGAAGAGGAGCTTATGGGAGGATATTCCACTTAAAGAGTTTAATTCTATTCTAATTTATTTTCAACACCTAAGAAAGGCTGTACTGGACCAGATGTGTGAACGCACAGAGCAATTCAAAACGGATCTGAAATAATCGGTTAGCATGAGAGAAGATGAGACAGATTTGTTATTAGATTATTTAATTTAATTCTCAGATGAGGCATGTACACCTACTTCATCTGTTAATTTTACTTTCTGAAAAGCGTGGAGGTCATAAGCAAGCCCACAATGCATTCTTTTAAAAAAGGATTTGTTGAAACTAATTTTTTTGCCACTGCCAAAAGAATTGCGATGGCATTACTTGGTCAAGAGAGGAGACCTGTATTCAAGAGGAAGGGGGCAGATAAAAAACAAAAAAAGTGAGACAGATCGGGCCTCTAACAAGGGCCTGATGTGATGGTAAATGAAGACCAACCCCCCAAAACCGGGCACAAACTAGAAATGTAGACCCTTTCCCCGTGTTCGGGCTTGTGGCAAGGAAGGGGTTAAGTCCGCCAGCTGCCCTGCCTGCCTGCCTGCAGCTCCGAGAGTCGGCCCCAGTCTGGTTTCAGGGCTGCGTGCAAAGGGGGCCGTAGGAGGCGACAGGCAAGCAGACATGGTGGAGACACTGAGTTTTATTAGTATTCTGTTGCCAGATAATGAGAAAGAGAAAGAAGGCAGAGAGAGAGAGAGAGCTCAGACTCTGCAGGAGCAGTTCTGTTGCCTGAGGACACTAGCAGGCTGCAAGCGCAAATACCGAACAAGAGCATCAAAAAAAGAAAAAAAAAATGCAATTCTAAAGCTGTCAGCCTTTTCAGTAACACTATACTGTAATTTAACCCGTTGTATTCTGAGACTTTGCATGCCTGTAACTTCTGAAAATATAAAAGCCATTACTGGTGCTTATTCAGGTTAGGTTAGACACAGCATAGGTGTTGTGTACTGGACTTGCCGTTACCCAGAAAGCCCTGCTTCGCCAGCGTCTGTGTTTAGCGCTGTGGGCCGGTCCCTGTCTGCGTCTCTATTGATCCTGTGAAGTTTCTGGAACAGTGAGAGATACTGTGTTCGGGCTAAAACGCTGGAAACGGTCTCATCACAGAGTCCCACCAAGAACTGGATTACAAATGGTTTGTCGGGAATTCCCACAAAGCTGAAATATAATAAATTCTGCAGACACTCAGAAGCCACTCGCGTTTCATGTGGGATTTGCATTTCTTCTAGGATCAGAGCGAAACAGTTGCTCCCAGGACAGAGGCTATTCCACTAGGACTCCTCCACAAACAGGCTGCAGAAGACATTCTCTCACTCGGACGCATGTCCACACATCTTCCTCCGATCGACTTGCCACCAGAATTTAGTTCCTTTTCACATAAAAAGTACCGACCTGCTCAGCAAAAATAAATCTCTTTCAAGTCAATTCTCAGGCTTACCCATTTCACTACTTGCAGATGTATTCCTACTAACATTCCCATTTTTAAAGCCAGATTTTTAAAACGAATGAAGGCAAACCGAAATGCTAGACTGGGCTCTCTTTCAGAGCTTTCTGGTCAAGTTCAAAACCCAGCACTCAGATCTGACCTCAGTTTTGACAAAGTAGGTCTCTCTACTGTACATTAACATACATAGGTGCAGATTTGTTCACTTTCTGCATGTTTGAAAGATCTTAAACATAAATTTCCGCTTTGGGGCTACGTTAAGACACGACAGCCTAAATTGGTTTTAAATTGAACTATTCAAGGACATGTCACTGGTTGCTTTAAGTTCAACAAATAAAGTAAAACAAACACAGAGCAAAGACGTCCGAGATCAGGCCCCGAGCCCTCGTAGAGAAGTCTTTGTATACGCAGGTTGGCCTTTAGGAAACCAGGCAGGATGGGGAAAGGCGAGGCTGCAGTTTGCACGGCCCGTTGCAGCACAGACAGCTCGACACCGAGCGAGCAGAACCGTCCTCCGACGCCCATCAGCTGCAGGAGGTGACCGGTGGGACCCTGCGCCTTACTGTCCAATCTCCGGGGAACCACACCCACAGGACACGGAGCACCAGCCCTCTGCCCGGGTCCTTCGCCGCTCGCTCGGGGGACAGGCCTGCAGGCTCGTTTGTTTTGACCGCTCTGTGGAAGGCGTCCAAGCACCAACAAGGAACTCGTCAGAGGGGCAGCGCAGGGAAAGTGGGATAATGAATGAGAACAGGTGTGACTGGAAACCGTGAAGTCTTAATCTGTATTGTCTGGGAAAACGCGAGGCGGCCCAACATGACACACTACTGCCTTGGCTAACGACTTGCGTTGGGGCGTTTGTGGGGGGTTTTTCCTACAGCTGTGGGGTCTCAGTTCTGGCTGCGTGTTGTGATGTGTTTTACTCTCTCGTTGTGGTGGGTGGGGGTTCAGTACCGACGAACGGCCTCTGTTCTTTCGCGCCCCTTCTTTTATTGCCCACTCTCTCCCACAAAGTTGCCGCGCCAGTGAACCCCGAAAAGCCCTGCTCTCCCTCCCAGACCACCTGCTCTCTGCTCAAGCAGGATGAAGCGTTTCTGATCTGGTCCTACGAACCCCGGTGAAGACTAGTAATCGCATTCAGATAAGGACAGAGGACCGCTGGGCATCGTGGAACACCGACTAGCCAGGGTCACAGTGGAGCACTGGCCCGTGTGGGGTATATATATAGGAACAGGGGTCAGCCCACAGCAGGGACAGACGGGAACTGAGCACTGGTCACTGGTGGAGGAAGCATCTTGCTCAAACTAACTGGGAAAACTGGGACAAGGTGCAAATCTGCCATGGTGTCCCATGGAGGCTGAGTGGGACAGGAGAGGATCCCAGGATGACGTTGGGGGTCCGAGGCTCTGGAATTGCATTCCCACTGTAATCCCAGAACGGCACATAGTGCAACAGCCCACTAGACAGGTCACCAGGGCGGGCTGAGGTCAGGGCCTGCTTCCACACGGTGGGCTCTTTTTCCAGCTGGATGCCTTTATTGACGAGGAGAAGAGGAAAAAGTGGGTTTTGCCCTGAAGCCTCACTCGGAGGATGTTCCTCTCTCCCATAAATGATATTAATAACGGCAACACATCCATAACCAGAACTACAGCCTGGCTTCGGGTCAAGTCTCTGGTCTGTAACGCATCTTTTATTCATTTTGTAAGGTCTGTTTACAACTCAGCTTGTATTAGACGCATTATAAGGACAATTCCTGTGGCCTTTCAACACGCCGGAGCGATGGGAAGACACGGGCGGCCGGGGAGCGCTCAGCTCGTGAGAACGGGCCTGTGACGTCATGAGCTCGCGTCGCCAAAGCCACGTGCAGTCAGCGGGCGTGCTTGACAACAGCGCGGGCACAGGCCGGCAACGAACAAACACGGAGCAAAAATGTCAAACATTTTCTGCCTTATTGTAGTAAGCTTTTATTTGTGTTAACGACGTGACTCACTTGGGTGAGTTTCATACATCATACATGAAAGTGCCAAGCGTGTCCTCGGGCGCAAATATTCATTTAGCTTATTTATGTACATAACGAGACAAATTATGCAGACCAACGTTTAATGAATAAATTAAAATCAAACAAATTAACAAAAAATACCGCAACGGCAGAAGATGATCGTGAAAGGTGCAGTTAGGGTTCAATTTAAATTCGCAAATCGTTGCGACGGTAGCAGAAACTAGATACTAGATTTTCCGGATGGTTCAAAAACAAACTAAAAAAAAAATAATCGAAAAGTCTACAAATATCATGGCACAACTGTTTGATGAAAGGTGTGCTGTATTTTTTAGTCGCCGATGAAAGTTTGTGCTACTACTACTACTACTACTACTACTAATAAATAAATGCAGAATTGTAAAAACGACGACAAGAATAACAAGAATAATAATTAACAATACAACTACTACTAATAGCTGCGCCAAGACAGTTCTTTAAGAAAAGGCGGCCGCACAGCTCCGCGTGCAGCGCGTGTTTCTTGGCAACCGCGCGAGCCCCGGGCGCAGGAGAGCGGGTGACGACCTGAACCGGCTGGGCGCGTCCCGCGAGCGAGCCAGCACAGCGACACGCGGCAGCTCAACAGAAACCGGCCCCCGCCAGTCCCGTGAACCCCCACCCCCCCACCCCTCGGACCGGAGGCCCTTAGCGCCGCTCTGAAGAGTTGGAGGGGGGTGGAAGAGGTCGGGGCTTTACTCGCACGGTTAGCGTGATTACGACTTTCCTTAAACGCGAAATAGAAAGATGAATTGCCGGGAAAAATAATCTGAAAACCCCAACAAAAACGACACACTTAAATCTCTGGAGCACTTTATGTGTAAAACTGAGTCAGGGCCCCTGGTCTCCTACCGGACAGGTGTGAGACCAGGAAAAACCTTTCGCAATTTTACCTAGAGCTGCTCGTCTCTTCTCCCCCCCCCAAAAAAAAATAAAAAAATAATCAAAACCCTCAGCAGCGCGTTAACCCCTCTCCTCCATCCTCGGGCCGCGGCTGGCTGCTCGCTCACAGGGGTCCAGGGCCGAATCTCCCGAGGCGCGGCAGCTGCGCGCATACCTGCCGGCCCGGCCTGTCGCCGCGCATTTTGCGCTGTTTTGCCCCGACAAAGAATGTCGTTAGTGAAACAAAGAGCCCGTTCTGCTCTTTTTCCAATGCGCTGTCAAGACGCATAACTGGCAAAGGCTAACAGCTGTTAATGAATGTACTTCTGCTGCTTGGAGAGACACCAGAGGATGGGGAGGAAACGCACAGGAATGCACACACACACACACGCTCCTTGCCTCGATGCGGGAGCCTGCGTACCGGACTAATTGGTGCCAGGGTGTACAGTAATGACTGCATTCATATTAAACCACACAAAATACTAATTTGCTTACTTAACCAGCTAATGTCGCCGGGCCACGCGTCTCCAGCCCGGTACTTCCAGACGCCCGGTTGCTCTGCAGGGTCAGGTGTATATGA